TTCTTAACGCACCCCAGGATCCCATTGGCCCTCTTGGCCACGAGGACACACTGCGACCTCCTGGTCAACTTGTCATCCACCATGACACCCAGATCCCTCTCTGCAGAGCCGCTCTCCAGAAGGTCGGTCCCCAGCCTGTGCTGGTGTCTGGGGTTATTCCTCCCCAGGTGGGAGGAATAGGTAGCATTGCGATGACACGATCACTGCTGAGCTATGTCACCCTGTGGTGGCTGGAGGAGCGCTTGCTTCCAGCTATCATCACCAGGTCACCACACTAGGTCAGTCAGGATGCAGGGCAAGGTGAGTGGCTTGGTGTGGTCCCATGGGGTGGTCCCATGGCCACATGGTGTTTGTCCCACGGCCACACAGCTTTGAGGATACATCCAGGTGCATAGGAACCTTCACCCACAGAGGGTGGCCTCCAGGCTCATTTGTTGACAGGTTGAGGGCATTCACTCTCTGTGACAACCGATCTTCACTGAAGAAGAAGGCAGATGTGTTTCTACCCCATGCGTTTATTGCAAGAAGATCTGCACAGCACCAGTGGAGCCTTGGGCCCAGTTACACGCAGTTGTTTTCGGTTAAACGAAAACTTACCGATTTCTCCGAGGCCCATTCCCTCTTGTCTACAAGAACAGTCCAGTGCATGGGATGGTGTCACATGCCGAGGCACAAAACCAGCTCTTAGCATGGCAGCCAATGTCTCCCAAACACACGGCAGGAGCATGACAGGGACTTCCCTGGGACACCTTGGGCAGGAGTCAGGGTGTATCTTTCGGAACCCATAAATGAGGGATTAATTGCCAAACAGCACTGAAAACGCAATGGAAGCTCTTTAAGAAGCTTTGCAGACTAATAAAAGATAAGACATTGATCTCCAGATATATCTCCAGTTTGGCAATTTGCTGTCTGCTTAGAGTTGTCTAAGTTTCTCCTTCCTCTTAACTGTGTCCCTCTATAGAGGGGGAGCCTCAATAGAGGAGGCTTGACAAAGTGGTGTAGGATCCTTCAGAAAAAAATAACAAAACAGAAAATAAAAATAAATAAAGAAGAATATGCTGAAAAGCAGTGCTCTTATTCTAAAGGCACCATCCAGAGTTTTGCTCCTGTTTGGAGAAGACACGTTCTCCCCTTTGCTGCTGGCTACTATTTGCTAGTTGTAAATGCATTACTAAAAGCTCTTCTTATTGTGGTGCTTCAGAGCAGTTTATAATAAAAATATCATTGCAAACCACTCCCTTCCTTCCTCCTCGGCCTGCACAAATGCTATTTTGAGTTGTTTTAATGCCAGCAGATTAGAGGGCAGAGGATGTGAATCCGGCTCAGTCTGTGATGGGAAAGAGGTGCCAAACGTCTGGGATTGGGGGTGTTTCTGGGATCCCTGAGCTCTTGGACTGCTTCTCTTTTATGGGACTGTGTCCTGACCTCTGGGCCTGGGGTCTGAGGAAAAAGAAAGGCTGTTTTCTGTCAACCTAAGTCACCTTCAAATCATCATCTTGTGTTCTAAATAACTGCTGTGGCTGGTAGAGATGCTAGTTATAAGAGGAGCCTGTTCCAAGGATGGCTTTAAATGCCAGGACCATTTTCTCTCTGAAATTGCAGAGAAATCAAAATGATGAATCTTCCTGATCTCCTGAAATAATGAACCTAGAGAAATCGTATTTCTGCTGCTTGCGTAGTCCACCTGACTCAACCTGGCAGATCCCACCAAGCCCAGTCATGGATGGATCAGAGTCAATTAAATAAAAATGACCAGCTGGAGGCTTGCAATGACTCTGTGAGGAGCAAGAGGGGGACTTCACGCTGTGGTGCTTTCATTGCAAGGACTAAGAAAAGCAAATTGTCATCTCTACAGCAATTGCGAGAAAAGGGGAGTGCTAAATGGGTGGCAGATCCTGCAAAACACTAAGGCTTTCTGTTACCCTTCCTAGAACTAGTTAGCTCGCAATTGCTGCAAAAGCTGGAGAAAATGCAGGTGATATTCTTTGCATTCCTACTCGTTTCTTCCCTCTCTGTCGTTGTCATCCTGGCTTTGACTTTCTAGCTGCTCTCCTGCTTGTTTCTGACTTGTGTCTAAAAGTGTTTGTGCAGGGGCTGGCACAGTTACTCTTTGTGAATCCAGGTTTTTGTAAATCTCTTTTTCAGCACACAAAAACAGTGCAGAAATGCTAGGTTTTGGCTACTGGACAGGAAAAGATATCAAAACACTTAACTCAAAGCCAAAGGAGGCCTTCTGCTGTTGATAGCTCAAATCTTAGGAAGTTCTGCTGGGTCATCGGTGGGGTTTTCCTTCTGTTGAGCCTATCCTGTTGTGTCTCACTGGGGCTGGTGCCTTCGTAGCTCTGTAGATGAGCCCAGTGGGACAAGCTGCATGCCTGAGGACTCTGTCCGGGCTTTCTTTAGCCACCCCATGGCTACCTGCCTCTCCCAGGCCCTCGGTCCTCCATGGACCAGCAAAGTACCTGAGCAAATGGGGAAGAGGTGGCTGCTTCCCACCCTGGAAAAGGAGAAAAGAAGCCTATGAAAACACTCTGCAGATTTCAATTCAGGTACTTCGTGAGCTCGAAGCCTAGATGGTCCCAATGCATAAGTCATGGCATTGACAACTGCCCCCAAACTGAGCAGACCAAGGGGCACATGGGCTGTGGACCCTTCTTCCAGTTTATATTTCTGCTCTGCATAACTGGAACTAGAAGCTGAGAGAAACCCTAAACCCTGTTTTTAAACTGGTGATTTCAACTTGAAAATTGCTGTTGTCCCATCACCTAGAAAGTCACCTTGACATGTTCCTACCAATACACATTTATCTCTGCCACTAAGAAACCATAACATTAGCAAAAATTGACCGTGATTGTGTTGGAACTGCGGTTACGGTGATTTGCAGGCTCGAGGACTGGAAATAATCAGTAGAAAGAGCTCTGGGGGGAAAAAAAGAAAAAGAAAACACCAAGCTCTTGTCAAACTCCAAGAGCATTGGAGTCGCTCCTAGCAGATGTTGCCAAAGCATTTTTAGTCCAAACAAGCTGCAAATAGTGGCATGAACCTGGATGGCCCTGGTTTGCATTCCTGCTTTGCTTCATGAGGACACAAGCCTCTGAAGGCAGCGGTGCCATATGCTGGTATTCCAGTTCTCAGGAGCCAGCTAGGCTCAGACATACCTTTTTCCTTGTCCCCTTTTTGCACTGTAAATATTTCCGCTGCTTACAGAGCAGTCCAGCTTGGCAGAGGCACCGCTTCGATTCAGGAACAGAATGAGACGTAGCGAAAAAACAGTGAGCGGCTCCTTGGCGTGAGGTTCCTGCCCAGCAGGAGCTGGCTGTGCAGTGCAGAGAGCCCCAGCAATGCCCTGCTCTGTCAAGGATGGAAAACATCTGCTAGAAGCAGCTCCCTGTGGCTTTCTGCAGTGCCCAAGGCTGAGGGCAGCATCTCTGCTGGAGCCCAGGGGTATTCACGGCCTCTTGCAAGGAGATGGAGAGGCCTCTTTCCTTAGATGTGATGCTTAGGGATGCTTAGCTCATTTTAGCTCCTTTGGGGACAGGGGAAGGATGCCCGAGCAGAAACACATGGCAGCAGGGAAGGATCTTGCTTGTCATCACTCCTCATTCACCGAGCAATTTTCAGAGCTCTAGATGAAGGGCAAGAGCTCTCCGTCCATCCCGGAGCTGACCTTGGACAGTCTGCTGGGCATCTCAAGCAGGCGTTCGTCCAGATAGCCCCGTTCTAGTAAGTCCCAAACTCCGGAGGAGGAGAAGTCAGAGGATTTCTCTGGGAGCTAAAGGTCTTTGGCAAAGTTTCATTCAGGGAGTGGCGAAGAAGCATCACTTTCTCCAAAAGAAATGTCTTTTTCATCCAGAGCTCTGAACCAGGGGAAAAAATAATAATAAAGCAGAACAGCTGATTTATCTTCTCTGCTCTGCTCTAACAACACTCTTTATTGTCGAGTTTGGTGGTGGGGCTCATCCCCATCCTGCAGGAGCTCCTGCCAGCACTGGGGATAGCTGTTTGGCTTGGGCTGGGCTGGAGCAGGAGGTTGTGCAACCATCCCTCTCCACTGATGGATCTCGGAGTCATGGCCAACACAAACTCCTACCAGACCAAGTGAAATGAGTCCTTTGTCCAAAGCTATTTCCTCCTGAAGAAACTACTCGCCTTGCAAGCAATAACCCTGGTAACATTTTTGGCAGAGAAATGTTTACCGGCCCTGACCTGATTTCAAAACACAATCAACAACAGGAACAGGGCGGTATTCCAGAGGTGGCTATTCATGTTCGAAGACCCAACCTTTGTATATGAAATGCACTTGTTTTAAATGGAAAAATAGCTCGTTGTGAGGTTGCAGCTTGCAATCATGGTGCCATACTTTCTCTTTTTTTTTGTGTTGGCAGTTCTTCGTTTTTTGCCATGGGCTCCTACAGCTCTCCCAGCTCCTGATCTCCGGCTACATGAAGAGCACCATCTCCACCATTGAGAGGCGATATGGCCTGTCCAGCCAGACAACAGGGTTGCTTACCTCCTTCAATGAGGTGACATCTCCTTTTTATTAATCTACCAGGCAAAAAAAAATGCTCCTGTCATTCTTGCCCAGCATTTATGAGGCTTCTTGGTCATTGCCACAGGTTGGAAACACGCTGCTGATCGTCCTCATAAGCTACTTTGGCAGCCGAGTGCACAGGCCTCGCTTCATTGGTTGTGGAGCAATTCTTGTCGCCTTGGCTGGATTTCTGATGTCTCTCCCTCATTTCATCACAGGACGCTACAAATATGACCAGTCCATTGCCAGTAGGTACTCTATGTGCGTATTTTACTTGTTTTAGGAAACATACAGGAAACAATAACCTTTTCTTATGGGTCTGCAAGCTGAGGCTTGACCTCGAGGAATTGACTATTGAATTTTAACTTTCTGCCAGTGAAATTGCCTCAGCTCTGAGAAGCAACAGCTGGCTCTGCAGAAGCAAGAATAGATGACAGCTCATGGGCTGGAGCCAGAGAAAAGGGCATTAAGGCTGTTAAAGTGGAGGATGTGCTCCTGATTGCCCTCATCTTCTACATATTTACACAGCAGATAAATCACAGATAATATGAAGGTCCCTCCCCAGCCATCAGGGATCTGATTTTCCATGAGAAGAGCCGGCTGATCTGCACTCGCGTGAACTGCTGTCATGGTTTTGGTTTCATAACTTTATATAAGGGGAGGCCTGGTCAACCCTGTCCTCGAAGCCCTTTGCAGGAAGATAACCAAAAGGATGCAGGAGGGCTGACCCAGGGAGACAGCAGAGGGATGTGAAATGCAGTTGTCTACAGTGGGAGAGCAGAGGTTTCACCGCTAAGTCCTCCTGCTTATGGGGTATTTTGCCTGTGTTTCTTAATTTCACTAAGTTGTTTCTGAGGGAACACCTTGAGGTTTAAGACCCCACAGGAAAATCAGCCTCTTGGGCCACTCATGCAAGTATATATCACTCATGGAAAACCAGGCCAAGGAGGAGCCGTGGGTACAGGATCCCTTTCTGAGAGAAGCCAAAGATGAAAGAAGGAAAGAAATAAGAGAGGAATTTTTTCTTTTGTTTCCTCCCCAAAATCCAGCTCTGGATCTCCAGCAAACCCATTAGAAGTCTCCTGTAAAAGGCTGTTCTCAACAGAAATAGCACAGTGGATTTGCTCAGCTGCAAACACCAAGAAAGGTTTAATAGGTGGATAATTCACAGATGCAAACCAGGATCAGGTGATAATGACATTTTAAACCAATTTGCCATGCATTTCAGAGCAGCTGGTGCCAGGGCCGTGTGCCCAGCACTTGGACTTGCATGACTTAGGACACAGCCATGGAAATCTGGTTATAATAACCAGATCCCTGGTATTTTAGGAGTGAACTGCACACTACCTGACCAGCACTCTCACTTAGGCACCTGCATAATCCATTTTTGAGTAAAATAGGTTCTTGCTTGCTGAGTCACTGTTGATGAAACTGCAATTTTTGCTCGCTTAATTCATTGCAAGATCCACCTAAAGCTCCTGGAAGTGTTCCTGGGCTCACATCTGTTGCATGCAGACCTCAGGGCTTGCTATTACCTTTAGGAAGAACAGATGTTGGGCAGCCCGTTGCCAAGCTTTGCCCCCCATCTGGACCCTCTCCCCTCGTCCCTGCAGGTGTTTTCAGCAACACCACAGACCTCTGCCAGCTGGATGGCTGGGGGGCCAGCGGGAACCTCAGCGATGAGAGCTGCACCCCCCGCAATGCCAAGGAGAACCACGAGCTCCTTCTCATCATGTTCGTGGCCCAGGTGCTGAGGGGCATCGGCGGTGTCCCCATCCAGCCCTTCGGCATCTCCTACATCGACGACTTCGCCAGCGAAAGGAACTCTCCCCTCTATTTAGGTAAGATGGGCAACGAGCCCTGTTATGGAAAAGAGGAGACTCCAGAATTAGCTGTCTACAAAAACAGGAGGCATCGTACTAGTCCGCATGCACTTGCCATAACCTTCCTTTTGCAAAAATAGTGTGTTTGCTTCAAGTTTGGACAGATTGGATGCACACCAGAAAGAAGCAAGGAGACTTGGAAAACATAATTCAGGAAAGAGGGTGGAAATATTGTGCTTTTCAGCCTGGCAGTGAAAAGCTGGAAAGGAGCAGGATAACCATCTCCTCCTACAAAAAATAAATAAATAAATAAATAAAATAAAGCTTCAACAAAGAGAAACAGAATAATTGCCTCTCAGAAAGCAGCTATGGACTTAAGCCAGAGAAAAAAAAGGAAAGAAAGACTTTCTTTATCTATGAGAAATAATATTTAGGGAGCTTAAGCACCACACTCAATGGCCTGGGAGGAAGACAAGGATCCTTCAGTGAAGCAGGTGCTGGAGAACAGCTGAGGCATGAGGGATGTCACAATGTGGTGGGATGGGATTTAGAAAAGTCACCTGTAGGACAGGAGTTTAATCTTATATGGTTTTAATCTTTTTATTGGTAATTCACATAGGGGTGATTGCTGTTAAAAGGTAACTGAGTGGCAGTAAACTGCGTTATCTAAAGCAGTGATTAAATCACAAAATGTGGTACAAATGTCAGTCTGGATTACACCAGCAGTTCCTCAAGTAACTTTGCATTTGCTGGTTTTCTTATACCAAAGGGCATATCGTAGTGCCAGGGGTATTGCAGCCTTTGCATGTGTCCAAGGGAAGATCTGATTCCTGTAAAAGGTTTCTTATGGAGAGAGCCTGGAAAGCTCTGTTGGGGTTGTCAGTACTTGAGAGGGAAGAAACGAAAGAGCAGAAACAAAAGTATGGGGGGAAAATGGCCATTTTAGAGGAGCAAAGTGTAAGGGAACAAGTTGAAGGTGGTGGCAGGACGTGGTGCGAGAGGATCCTGGTCCAGCCCATTCTGGCCCTGTGTTGATGCACCTCTTGTCCCTTTTGGTCCCCTTACAGCTGAGCCCGTTTCCACTCTCTTCCCTCTGCAGGGATCTTGTTCTCCCTGACTGTCATCGGGCCTGGGGTGGCCTTCATGCTGGGCTCTGCCATGCTGCGCTTCTACGTTGACATCGACAAAGTCACGGGAGGTGAGTCCATGCGTCCGCAGGGAGCCGTCCTCCACGCGGCACCGCATCCCTTCTCCTGCTGCACATCTGGGGTCTCTCACCCTGCGGGGCTGCTTAGAGGGAAGCTCCTCTGCATCGTGTTGGTCCTTCTAAGGATGTTCTGCTGTATGCCAGGAACAGCAGGCAGCTGGCTCAGGGGCAGAGGGGGAATGCAGAGGACATGCAAAACTCAGGGAGAGACATGGAAGAGAGAGATAAGGGAGAAACAGGGAGAAGGAACAGAGAATAAGACTCAAAGAAGAAACAGGAGAGAAGGAACAGAGAATAAGACTCAAAGACAAGTGAAGAAGAGGGAGAGGGGTGGGATGGGAGGAATATGAAAACTGGTAGAAGAAAAACGCAGGTCAGGGCAAAAGAGGAACACGAAGGGGTTTCCCTTAGCAGCTTTCCATATGTCTGTAGCAGCTCCAGCAGCCTGGTGGCAGAGGCCAAACGTGCGACCGATGCGGGAGGATTGATGAAAATTGCAAGTGACAGATACGGCCCCGTTTGCCAGCTTGCTGGGAAGTGAAAGGATCTTTCTGGGTTATCAGCAGCAGCAGTCACACATATGCAGCTCAGCATATCCTTATTCGAGAAAAATAAGATTGGGCAAGCTCCTTTGGGTGGTGACTAGGCAGCATGAACATTGGCCCTGGACCAGCATTATATTGCTATAAATGCAATGGCTTTGGCTTGGGTCTTCTGATTCCTTCCTGCTCATTGACCTCACCAGGCATTTTTTTTTTTCATCTGGCCTTTATTACTTTTAGTGTATTTGTGGCATGGGAACACCCTTCGATCCTCCCACTGCTTCGTCCTAGTAGACAACTTCTAAGCTTATTGCAATATTAATGCATCCTCTGCACTGCTTGGTGAGCCTCAAAGGAGCATCTTGAGTACAGACCACCAAGAGGAGCTCCCTAATGGATGCTCATTTTCCTCAGGCCCACTTCCTTTGACCTTAAAAGCAGGTGGAAATTTTTCTGCTTGAAAGATCAGTTCAGCAGTAAAATGCTTACTATTATATACCAATCTTCAATTGCTCTCTAGTGGTGCAAGCTCATGGCAGGGAAGCACCCCAGGTTCAGCCCAAGGAGCCAGATGGCCAAAAACACAGAGCAAAACCTCTACAGAAATGCAACGAGCAGATTTAGTCCTCTACGTGTGCGGCAGGTCCTGTCATGGGCAGTACCAGCTGCTCAGTTTCTTACTCGTCTCTTTGTTCGCTGGGTTGAAAAGAAGTATTACCCCAAACCTCTATTTATTATATTTGCTAGCACGCATTCTAGATGTCTTTCAGGTTGCACACACTTCCAAGGCCCCATGTGCTGAGAGATGAACTCTAGCCATGGGGTTCTTGATGCCAATTCTGCTGCCCACTGCAGAAGGTCCCCTGATCCCCCTTATCTTCCTCTGAAAGAAGAAGAAATGGGATTGGGGTCTGCAATCTGCCAGCACACCCTGCTTAAATCTTCCAAGGCCTCTCCTGCACACCAAAGTTGAATGGGGACTGTGTTTTGGCAGCCACAATTGGAGAACATCCTGTTTAAGAGCTATCTTCACACTGATTCCCGAGGAAAATTGGCACGTTGGGACTGCTTCCTGCTAAATCCAATTAAACCTCCAGTTTTCCTAGAAGGAATCTTGTCACTGTTTATCCAGGAAGGGATTTAAAATTCCAGTTTGCTAAATGCATCATGCAGGGCAATTATCCAATTCCTCCAGCCTATCCAATTAGTCAGTTCCTCATCACTTGCTACTCCCAGGGGTAGATGTTGCACCACCTGCAATACCACCATGGTGAGAAGGACCTTTCCAGAAGGACTTGCCTGTGATTGCCACCAAACCACAAGTATCCCATGCTCTGCAGAAACCTTTCTTCTTTTGGACCCTCTCTGTTGTGAATTTGCATCCTGGTTTCTGCATATCATGTTTTATTTATGTCAAGACCTCTTCCCACAGAACATGCTGTCCTTGGCAAGGTGCCCTATGACAGGAAAGGGTATTGGGCTGACAGAAGGAAGGTGGTCTGGAAAAAGTGATTAAAAATTAAAATCCATAAAAGGGATATAATCCTTTCTGAGAGGAAAGGAAAGGAAAGGAAAGGAAAGGAAAGGAAAGGAAAGGAAAGGAAAGGAAAGGAAAGGAAAGGAAAGGAAAGGCAAGGGCTTGCAATGGTGGAGCTGCAAAGCAAGGACTGGTCGATGGATGAGGGTGGATGAGGGTGGTGGCCAGAGGTTTCTGTGTGGATAGCCAGACCCTAAAAATCAAAATAGGACTCCTGGATTTCTGACGTTAGGGACTAGAGTTAATTCTTACCTACATTTTAATCTTTGGAAAGGATTTTTCCCTATGACAGGAAAGGGTATTGGGCTGACAGAAGGAAGGTGGTCAGAAGGAAGTGGTTAAGGAATAAAAGCCAAAAAAGGGATATAATCCTTTCGGAGAGGAAAGGAAAGGAAAGGAAAGGAAAGGAAAGGAAAGGAAAGGAAAGGAAAGGAAAGGAAAGGAAAGGAAAGGAAAGGGCTTGCAATGGTGGAGCTGCAAAGCAAGGACTGGTCGATGGATGAGGGTGGATGAGGGTGGTGGCCAGAGGTTTCTGTGTGGATAGCCAGACCCTAAAAATCAAAATAGGACTCCTGGATTTCTAACGTTAGGGACTAGAGTTAATTCTTACCTACATTTTAATCTTTGGAAAGGATTTTTCTTTGTGTGCTGACCGAGAGCTTGACCTCACTCCCCCTGAGTGAGCATTTCTGAGCTTTTTCACCATGCGGATACCCCTTCTGTGAAAATGAGGTGATGGGTTCGCATTGCTTTTACAGGACTAAGATGTCTGTGTCCCTTTAGCAAAGAATGGAACAGAATTTAGCACCACAGGATGAGCCAAATGCAAAAGCAAAATTGCAAATGCAAATGCTCAGCCCCCCAAACAGATGGTTCCCAGGTTGGGAACAGCGATGTCTCCAACCTACTGGAGCCAGCCAGCTCTGTCCCCTTGCTGGGTGGATGGAGGGGCAGGAAAGGTGCAGTAGGATCCCTCTGGTCACTGTTGTTGAAATGCTGTTTTATCTCTTTCCATTGCAGAGGAAATCCAGCTCACGAACAAAGACCCGCGCTGGGTTGGTGCCTGGTGGCTTGGCTACCTGGTTGCAGCCAGTCTCGTGGCCGTGTCTGCCGTGCCCTACTTCTTCTTCCCACGGGAAATGCCGAAAGAGGTAGGATGGGTGAAGGTGAGGCATGCTGCGGATTGCTCCTGTGGTTTAAAACACGGCTGCAACCACCTCCTGGGATTTCTGACCTCAGTCCAAAACCTAACACTTCACAGGGCTTTACAGAGCCTCGTTAGCATGGGAGTAATGCATAAAACACGAGTGCTTTTCATTGCATTGTGCACAAACAGGCTCTTCCTTCCTCACCACCTTCTAAATCCACGAGGAACAAGACTGTGGCAGTGGTTTCAGGCTGTGCAATTTATAAATACACCCTCAGGTCAGATGTGTTCTCTGATTCAATCTCAACTCCAGTTTCAAAAGATCTTCCTTCTCAGGTCTGGTATGCTAAGCAGAGCCTGGTTTGGCCAGTGAAACCCAGAGCAGTTTAACTGGTGTCATAATATATTTATAATAATTATAATGTATTAGTATATGTCATATATTATACCTTGGTGGCACTTGAAAGCAGCTCTGTGTGTTGATACCCCTGCTCATATAACCCAAGGCCCTGTTCCTAGGATGATGGAGATGTAGGCAATCCCATGTGGATTAAAGTCCTGCCTTTTGTAGCCCACCCACTTAACCACTCACTTTCTGTGGGGCTCGAGGCTTAGCTGCTGCACCAGCATCCAGCTTTGCCCAATGACTTGCCTGTGACCTCTTTGCTGGCCAAGGGCACTTTGGAGAACTTTCAAGCCCTTTTCCCTCAGCCAGACTTGCCATCCCTTAGGGTGTAATTCAGAGGTTATCATCTCCCTGAAGGTTCCCCATCTGTCAAAGGGCCAACATGATGCTTCTCCCAGCTCTGCAAAGTGCTCAGAACTATCTGGCAGAGAAAACCTTTAACAACTAAAAGCTGTCACTGCCAGCCAAGCGAGCATCTGACTGCTGCTTGCTTGGAGGAAGCCAATGTCTGTCTCTCGTTGGCATCTGCAGCTGGGGGAAAGCTTGGCTTTTTCTTTGCTACCATTTGAACTTCTCCAAAGCCCTCCCAAATGCGTTAGAGCTTGTGCCAACGTGCTAAACAGTCTGGGAGCTTCCCACACACTTGGCTGGCAGCAGGTCCTGCTCTCTGGCAAAGCAGCATGTCTTGGGGAATAACTCAAAACAAGCTGTTCTTCCCGAGCAGGTATGATACCACGGTTCTGCACGCTCGCTCTTATCAAAGCTTCGGGGACGCGTTTAGTAAGTGAAGCTGCAATCAGCTTGGTGTCTTGGCCATATTCCAGCTTGTTTAGTTGTCTCTCACATAAATTTACTTTGAGACAGCATCGAAACTTTCTTGTCTAAACAAGTTGTGTGTACACCGTTGGGTGGAATAGTTCTTCACTTCTGCTGGTGCCTGAATTCCCTAGTGGATGAGTCTGACTGTGATTTTGGAGCTCCCTTGCTCTGGAAAATGTAAGCTGCTATACACTTCTGGGGGCTAACATGATATGCTGTATTCACTGCTAGGTTCCCAAAAGTCCTTTAAAATAGTTATGAATGTTCTATATTAGCAGAATCTGCTCAGTGCATAAGGGTGCCACTGCATCTTAGGATAAAGGTTCTTCCTTAGGACTGCTGAGAATATTAATTTCATTATCAGCTTTTGAGAGGAAATAATGCATGTGTGGCTAAAACAACTTCTGCAAGTTCCACGCTTGAATCAGGCTGAGGGCTGTGTGGCCTGTAAAGGACCATTGGTTGAGTACTGATTTAAGAAAGAAACAGGAGGATTTCTTTCTCCTCTGCTGGCTGGTATTTATAAGAAATGTTTCAGACCGCTCAGCACTCATTTATTTCTTTGCAGACCAGATTTTCCTTGAATTTCTCATTGTAGTGTCTCCCCGTTGGTTTCTACTGGATACTCAAAGCCCCGTGGGAAATCTGCATTAGAGCAGGTCATTTTCTGTAGGTGTTGTGGGAAAGAAAAAAAAAAATCATTTTGTGTTGCTTGCCCTTGTAGCAAATTAATGCTGAGGTGAGGGTGTAACCTTGATGTTTTTTCCATCACGAAGGGCATTGCCCTTCCTCTACGTTGCACTGGAGGTAGCCTCCTTTCCGAGGTCACTGAATTACAGTACCAACTCCTTGGAAAAACAGTTCTCCTCCAGAGGAGCATTAGCCAGGCCAATCCTGATGTTGGGGAGGAACCATCTGGACAAGGTCTTTGGAGGCCAGCTGATCCCAAGACAGAGCAGAGCTTTCAATCCACCAAGTGCTGGTCTCAAGCTCGCCTTCTGCTGCCACCATTGCACTTGGCTACCTGTCCTTGGCACCAAGGGCTTTTCTCCCCAATTATAAAGCCCTGCACAGTATCTTGACCCATAATCACTGCCCTGAGGCACCGCAGCCATCATAACTCATGGAAAATGCAGGAATTCTGCATCCACTGAAGAAGCCCTGATGTTTCCACAGCACCAACCAAAGGCTTCATTTCGCAGCCTTCATCTCTCAGAGACCAAAAGGAATTTCAGGCATTTCAGGCCAGTCAGTCCTAATGCCATTTGCAAATCCCTGGGACTACTCATGTCTCAGCAGCTCAAGAGACTTCCTGGGAATAAAGCATTCATGGATGTGTTTCCCCATCACAGAGCCCACCAAATACCATCGAAAGAGCAGAGGCCAGAGCACAGCTCAGTTTTTCTTGCTGCCAAAAGCCCCATTTCATTTTTTTTTCTCATTTTCATCCTTCTTATCATCTTGTTTCTTTTCTCCTGGTCAGTCTGTGTAACTCATTTCAGTCCTTGGTGGTTTATCCAGACCTAGGAGCATCCTTCTCAGTGTACATCATTCAACAAACATTGTATAGTTATGCATCTATCTGTCTTTTGGGAGATTTATTTGACTCTTCCAACCAGCCAAGGCAGATCTAGGTTATTCTACAACCACATTTCAGCACAATCTTTATTTTACAGCATTTTTATTTGAAGTTCCTGGAATGACTCGTGCACTTAGTGTTAACAATGTTAATGATAATGAGAGTTTGCTCTTTTAGTCTTTTTTTTTTCTGTAAATCAGTCATACCAGATTCTGAACTTTTTTGTTGCTTTGTAGCTGCTCCAACTTGTCAGTCAATTTCGAGCCCTGAAATGCTCAGGAAAATCCTATTTGAGGGAGAGTTGCAACAAAGCTATAAAAGTTGTCATGATCTCAGGTAGGGAATGAAGGGCAAAGACTTTTATTTGACAAGCTGTTTAAAATCAGGGCCAGGTTCTCCTAATAATTCCAGTTTAATGCAGCCTCCCAAGAATCTGAATCGTTTGCCCTGTCTATGGTGAAGCCATGTCTTGGGCTTGGGGGAACTACAGCATTTGAGCATTTCCCAGCTGCTGAATAGCAAAAGTTCAAGGATTGCCTTAAATGAAAGCAGGAACATTATCCGTGTTGACCAGGTCTCATAGGCAAGACCTGTCTTGCACTACTGATCATCTCTCGGTTCTGGTTTCATTTCGTGATGCTTCAAAGCCCTGTAGAAATCCTAAAAGGCACCTGAGTGACACTTCCTCCTAGCCTGGACAAAGCCGTTCCAGTGATGCCAGATGTTTGCAAGCAGACACTTCATGAGAAAATCAGATGGTTTTTATGGGAAGCAGGTCTCGCTCCTTCCCAAGCTCCTGCTTGTGCAACCCTCTTCCAGGTATCTCTCCCTCATCGGTGTTCAAACTCACCTCCTTGCATCATCAAGCTTTGAGGTTTATATTTCACACCATTAGTTCGTTGCTGTCCTCGTGCTGTCGCTAACCCCAGTTAAATCCTTCCCTGCTCATTGTCACATCTGCGTGGTTGTAACAAGCAACCGAATCTCCTGACAGCCTTAATTTCACATTAGGGAGACTAGCAAGGCAGCTGGATGTGTCCTCTGCTGTCAGAGATGTCCTGGCTTGGTCAGATTCCAGTTTTCCCAGTGTGATCCAGTGTCGCTCCTTGCTCCACTCCAGATCTGGTCCTTGATGTCTGTGCAATGGGTTCTTCTGTGAACACCATCCTTGATATTTGCATTTTTTCTCCTATTTTTCCCGTTCTCCAACTTAACTTTGACACTCTTGCAGGCAATGTTGTTTATTCTACTTTGCCAAGGCCTAAAAGCTATTAGACCCACTGCATTCCCTTAATTTATTTAAACAACGGTGTTACTGAGCAGGGAGAGCTGGCTGCAGTGATCTATGTGCCTCTGTCAGCCACTAATACAAGGCGACCCATCTTGCCATTTATCTCTATCTCTCCAGTTACTTTTTCTTCCAGAATTTGTTGCACTTCTTGTTTATCCGTTCATCTTCACTCTCAAGTATAATCCAGGGCTCCACTCTGCTAATAAAACAAAATGAAATGAGAAGGATGTTCCAAATCTTTTATTAAGAGGTTCAGTTAGGGCAAGGAGGGAGTTAAAGGTTAGTGTTGAAAGCACACAGTGAGATTATAAACCTGGAAAGCATAGGGATTTGGTTCCACTGTGGCTTT